GTTTATTCAAGTTTCAAGATAAACTGGTGTGTGCCAATTGAAGACAAGGACACAGGTCCCATCTTTTCTGTGTCCTTGTCTTCAATTTGTTCACAATAGTCTATCTTGAGACATTTTGTGTTCATTGTGTATAAACATCCAGATTTTTAGAACTCCCACAATAATTACATGCAAGCACTGCACTATCCAGCCAGAGTTATAAAAATTTATGTTATACTCAATACCCGCTGAAATTTCTCAGCATGGTGGCGAAATGTTGGACAGGCTCTACAGGCACTAGATCTTGAAAATCAGTCACTTCAAAGAATCACAATTCTGCCATCTGCGGCTGATTTTTCCAGCGGCCCAAGCACGATTGTGCACAAGGATGCTGCCTTTTCACTGAATTAAATTCTGTGAGCGACAACAGTGAATGCATCACTCGTTTAAATCCAATCTCTGCTTCAATCTATTCAAAACCAACCAAAACACAAGAACTTTAAAAATTGTAACATCAGTAAAATGAGAAAAATATAACAATGCACTATAAGAAAAGTAATGTCTCCCTGTATTTTGCATCAGAAATAGTGACACCAAAAGGTAAGCTGAAGCACAAAATTCCAGTAAATTTTTTTTAGGGAGAGTATTTTGTTAGGGTCAAAATTTGGATTTATTCCCAGATTATTGCTGCTGGATGGTGAAACATTTTGTACACTTCACAATCTCTCCTTTTTAGGTAAGTTTAAGTGCTCTTAGCTTTCTATAATCTTAATTTTTGCTATATTTTGTGTAACTAGACAGAACTTATTAAATTTATATACCCTAAAAACACTTTTTTTGCTGTCTACTTATGATGCACAAAATCATGTCTAATAGTTAAGAAGTAATAAACTTTGTGTAACATAAAAAAAAACAGGCATTTTTTCCTACAGTAGGCAGTGTTAGTGTCATGCCAATTTATAGGACATTGCCTGATTCAGTTGAAACAAATGAGTACACATTTTAACAAATATGTGAAGGCTGCTCACTGGCATATGGCACTGGGGATATTTCATATGCAGCCTTCTGACTATTACTTTAAGGAACCAATCCTAAAAAAAAAAAAATGTGTAATTTTACTTCTTAGCCTACGTCACTTGGCCAACACGAAGCAGAGAAAGTTGATGCAGTATTTATTATAACTGATGTATAACATCTGTTATATGCAATATCTGTTTTGCATCTAATATTCATAACAGATGTGAAACTGAAGGTCAGCTTCAGTTTTGCAAATCTGCAGCATAGGACAGTGCCTCCTCTCTTTCTTTTTTTGCAAACCTTTTAGCGAACCATTACATGCGGGACAGCGCATTGAGAGCCTTTTGATTACCACGCTAGACTGTCCAGCTGAGTATTGACAAGATGAGACGTTTACTACTGTCGTGTCTCAGTTCCGCTTATAGCGTCTTAATACAAAACGCGCTGCCGATGCAATCTTTTCATAAAAACGCATGCGCCGGCTTTGAAATATGCTCTGCGAGTGTCGTCACAGAATTTACAATCTCACAGTGCTCACATGTATAAAAACGTTGGACAAGTCTTCATTTTTTGCCCAATAAAAGTGCACGAAAAACGAAGACAAATATAAACGATAATGCTGTTTGTATTTGTCTTCATTTTCTTTTTACGTGTTCCAAAATCGCATGCGCAACAAATGGCCATTTCATTGGATTACGACAATGGCACCCCCTTTTCTGCAGTCAGAGTAAGCGAAAATCTTTGAACTCATGAAAAGAAACCCTATGATGCTCAGGTTACAAAAAAGCATGAGTGATAGCCAACACTGTTTTTCTGCTGCAGCGAGGACAGCCTCTTTCCACTCTGGACCACACCACCTACATGCACAAAATGACTGTATGTTAACAAGGTGCCTGGAAACACAAACGAGATAACGCCCAGTGCTCAATATGTTTTGCGATAAGCATTCATCAGCGGAACGACTAACACGAAATGCGAATAAAGTAACCATAGAGTGTCTCAATACTAGAAAACTGTTGATCCTTCAAGTGCGTCACTACATTACTGTAAACACAGAAAGCGCCGCATAGCGCATACAGAGAAAGCTACCAAGGAAGACGCGCAAAGATGTGAATCTGAGAGAGCATTATGGGAGGGGGACGCGGCGTCTACCGCATCTCCAAGGCAACGACAGCGACGCACTCTCCTGTCTCGGTGATACAAGCAGCCCCAGCTTTTAGGTGGTATCGCACAAGGGCTCTCTGAACCAAGGTAGACAGACTGTTACCGTTGAGGAGCAAGCGTTTGCAATGGCATTGAAAAACATTAAGAAGGCGCTGGTCAGACGCTCCAAATACTTCTAAGACTATACCTTGAAAATAGCTGAAGCACCTTTAGTTGTAAGCTACTTTTCAACAAATAACCAAGCTTAAACATTTTATCATTTTATTAACACAAAGAGAGTAAGAGACGGGACATACGTAGGCCTTCACATGTCCAGTCCTTTGCCCTCTTTTTTGTCCTCATTTATTAGTGCAGTTCAAAAATTCAGGGGTAGTGCCATCAAATTTTGAGGCTGTAACAAGCCTTTTGTCAGTTTTCTTTGCATGCAAGGACCCTCCACACGAATGGTCAGACACAGCAAACACTTGGAATGTATTTTAATTCACTTACACAGTGTACCTAAATGATCATTCTCCCGATTGAGGCCCATCGTGAATGCCCCTAACACTGACATACATGTACATACAAGGAAAGCATCACGGCTGCTTCAGCTAGCGGCACGTTTGTTTTGCAGGTGCTTGTGTGGCAAAAACGCAGACAGTCGCCAAGCACGAACGTCCTTTTCATTCGCAGATTGTGTTTCTCTCATAAGTACCTAGTAACATTGAGACAGCTATTCGGTAATAGATAACATACATATTACGTGAAGGCTGCAATGAAAGCAATTTTAATAGCCAACAATTAGCTTACAATGCTCACAGAAAAGTGCTGCTGCGTACATTTGTAAGTGCGGCGGCGGCCGCCTATGCACACTAGTGCGGTGACGGTGGGCGCTGCCACTCGTAGACTGATCTCGGGGCGAATAAGAAACGCTTGTAGCAAAGAGCCCACAGCCACAAATATGGTGGCACCACCCTTTTAAGATGAATGTCTACCAACTAGTCCGATTTAGTGCTCTACTTATATTACCAACCATAATGAAGAAAAGCATTGAAACAGTATTTGGAAGAGAACTGTGAAGGACTTGAAAAGTATAGAAGCAACAGTTGAACAGATTCATACAACAGTTTGTACAACTTTTGCTTTTTTTTTCTTTTTTTTTTCCATTACATGTGATACAAAGTGTCTCACACATCATTGAAGTCCTGTGGGAAGGTGTAAGAAACGAGCCCATCCACAGACTAACAACGATAGATATCTAAATAAATGTCGGTAAAACCTGGCGAAAATAGCTAGCATAGACATACCTATAAACATAGTAATCTCATCAGCACTGCATTGTGTGGCAAGCATATGCTGCCATTCAACGCAAACATTTCTTCCCACCCGTTTTCTTTTTATTGCTAATTATACTTAGGATACTTAAAACTAAATTTACATAAATGTTGAAGAGCAAAACTCCCTAACCACATTGAATGAAAAGTTTAGGCAAATTTGTTGAATATAGATGGAAATTAAATGCAATGAAAAAATTTTAATGCAGGCTGTTTGGCCACAAATCCCTTTACATGATACATGTGCATCACATGGGACATAGGTAGCAAGATTACAAATAGTGCATGATCACACTGGAATTAATTATGAAGAAAAGAGCAGTATGTCATAGATGCATTTATTGTTGAGTGCAGTTCTAGTTAAGTTAAAGTCTACAGCATAGTGTGTCATTCAAAAGGAATATAAACACGCTAACATATAATCATGAGATAATAAACTGCTTAGTCTAAACTGATAGGCCACACAAAGACGGGATATGCTTGTGCCATAGTGGATAGCTATTTTACGCAAGTGAGCTGGCTACATATTTTGTTTCGAAGAACACAACTTGAGCTAGTTGGCTGGTCATCACAAGGCAAAAACAACCTACCACAGGTCGTACTGGTAGATGCCTAACTTAAAGTTTGTGAGAACAAAAGTATAATGTGACAGTGCAAACTTGAGACCATGTAGTTATCCCCTGCCAAGATTGCGGGTGCTTGCCTAGGTTGCTTGTCTAAGCGTGGTGTGCAGCTGTGCTGATAAAATGACTCGAGAAATCGTGGAGGCTCAGGAAATCTCGAACCAAAAAGACGGCTGCATCAGTACCTCATCCCCAAAGAGTTACGTTTTCTAATGAGGGCGGGATAATTATAGTTTCGTTTTGGTATCCACTTAGAAAGTTTGTCTACCAGGCTTTGCTCCTTTTGAAGTGCCTTTTGTTATTTTGATACCTGGTATATGTCTACTGAGGTGTGCAAACAACAAAACTTCAGTTGTTAGTCAGCCCCTGTGCTTCGTGTTCATCTGTCTTCATAAGGTATGTGCCCTTTTTGTCTTGCAATTAGTGCAGAAACCAGGTGGTCTGTGAAACAAAAGCATCTTAGATGAACCGTTCAGGCGAGTCTTGTCAGAATAAACCTCTCCAAGAAGACTAACAACCGCCGCTTATGCTTCTAACCAATTCGTTCCAAAATGACAACTGAATATTTTTTATTCAGGCAGACTGCAAGAACATCAGTTTAAGTTGAAATCTGGCCAAAACTTCAGTTCAGGTACTGCTTTAAATTTAAGTTTGGTTAAGACACCCTGGTCAGAACACCTTTTGGCAGAAATAATGAGAGAAGTAAACCCTTGAACGTGCCAACAGCAATTGTGGCACTTAGCAAGCTCAGAGGCCCAAAATGATCTGAAAGAGCTTGATCAAAAAAAAAAAAAGGGGGGGGGGGAGGGGGGGGGGGCTTCACAGCCTTTCAGCATCATACAAAACAAGTTTTCATTCCAATATGAATTTCAATGTAACTAAAATAGTTTAAACAACACCTTACCTTTTCTTCCATAAGCTGCTGAATGGGGTGCCTGAAGTGGTGGGCCTTGAGGACGGAAGCATCTTCAAAGTTGCCATCATGGCTTTTCACGAGCTCTCGTATGATTCCAACATCCTGATTGTCACTATCTCTCTTTAGCTTATCTTGCTGTGCTGTGAAATCACGTAACGCACAAGAAAAATGCACACGGTGCACTAGTGCTAGCCATTCCTTTCGTAAAGCCACAGCGAACTGCAGCTTGCTGCCCAAGTCATTTCTACATGTTGCAAGCATATATGAAAACACGATGCTTAGAAATACTGACATGACAGAAGAATACTCTAGGTGAAGATTACTAGCATAAATTGAAATAGTCTGAACATGCAGGGTATGTTTGAACCTGGCCAATGAACCAGATTGCCAGTAAGTACAACTGATATGACCGATGTAGCATCCTAAAATAACCATTACAGCTCTTTTACAAGTTCAGCCCAGTACAGATTCAAAAGGCACAGGGTGTTCAAATGAAGCATTAATAAAAAAAACCAAAGTGCCCTCATTTAAAAAACTCACTCAAAAGATTTTGCTACTCTGGCTAACGCAGGCTTTTTTTTTTAATTATAGACAAATCTACCATAAGACTTCTCTCTCTAATGTTCTTATATATGAAAGTAAAATTTAGATGGTATAGCACATTTCTTTTTGCAATCCATTAAACGACCTCAAGCATTTTTGCCTCTATCGAAAATACAACTGTTGAGGCCGGGATTCGATTCCTATGACCTGCAAGTCAGCAGTTGAGCACAAAGCTCAAAATGACTTAGCACTTTGATTTCCCCAAATGATACAGCAACTAATGAGTTAACATCACCTATACTAATTTGCTAAGTTTGCTATAGTACATTTAATTAAACAGCTGAAGAACAATAAATGGGAGGGCAGCATCACACGTATCGAATAGGAGCCTGTATGAAGTTAGCAACTAGACCACTAATAAGAAAATACAAACCTACTATGTATGAACTGTAATCCTATGCAAACTATGTCATTATTCATGGCTTAAAGTAAAGCCGCCTTTTTGTTTATCATTTTCTCTCGATAATTCAAGAATCCAACATTCAAATAATATTGATATATGTCTTATCTAATACCCCAATCTTAATGAAAACCAGCAGAATTGTGTCAAGCATAGAAGCAGGCCCTCCGATTTTTATACCTCTTTCCCTAATAACCCAATGACTCACAAATAAATCACAAAATGATGGTGCAACTTAATGTGACTAAAACAGTAAACATCGCATTAACATCACGAAAACCAGCAGAGAAAGTACATCACCTTACAACAAGGGTCACAAGTAAGGAAACAAGGAGATTACAATAGTTTATGACACTGCTACCAGAGCCCCTTGCAGCAGTGCTCCAGCAACCTTGTTCTCATGGGGCACTAGGCCTTGTTGCAAAAGAATTGTATGGATGTCAAAATTGCTAGTTCGAATACAATGAAGATCATGAAGTGAAATTAAAAACAGCTACACTGGTTTGTTTGCTCAGCAGTTTGATAGAAGCACAAGAAACGTGGTCAGCCTAGACCTAAAGTTATTGTACCAATGCTCAGCTAGCACAAAAATTCAGCATTTAAGGTAAGGGAAAAAAAATATTTTTCAAAAATGAAATTCACAAAGCGTGCTTTTTTTCGAGCTGAATATGGCTTACGGATAAGGGGGAAAATCCTCCCAGAAACAGAAACAAGAACGGATAACATGAATAGCACATGAATAGCACTAAGTATTTGTAAAAATGCATTCTTCTACAAGGGGAACTAAAGAAGCAATATTTAGCCACATATAAATGATGTAAACGAATGAAAAATGCTTTTTGATCAGACGAGCTTGTCTGCCATTTGAAAAATAAAAAAAAAGTTTTGAGTATTACCATACATAACATGAATGAGCTTACATATAACGCTCAAGGCCAAATTGTATATTTTTACCCTTCTTTGTCTAAACAAGTTAACTTTGTTTTTTTTTTGCCAAACATCAGCCTAGTGCTAATAATGCTTTAAAATTGGACCTGCCCTTCGCAAGGCCACACCAATTACGGTCGACTGGTTTCAAAAGGGGCTTACTAATATATTGACATCAGAATCGCTGCAAGAATGAACCAAGCTTACATACCTGCCGTGGCTCATTCAAGCACTATTTACATTGTACAGATTTTAAATGCGAATGCATTTCTTAGTCAGGCTATGTCAGGCATTCAGCGTTGTCCGCGACGGTGTGCTCACAGGCAGGTGTTCTCTCCCCTCTCACTACCTCTCCACAGCAACAGCTGCAAGCGCATGCGCTTATCCTCGACCCTGACGATTGGAGCATGTGGTGCGAGAGAGTAGGTGCAGTGCTTCGCCGCTCCATCTCTCGCTGTTCGCGCTCTTTCCTCCTTTCACCCCACTTTCCCACCCGCTCATGCCTCACTCTCTACTATTTGCTGGCTGGATGCCTCTCAAGAACATCCAGAAATGTGTGCTTGAGACGTCGCTGTGAAACGCCAACGCTGAGCCAAGAACGCGGTTTGTTTTGTTCATTTCACAGTATTTTTTAATCATTTCTACTAGCTACTACAGCTGGAAACAAATACCGCCTTTCTCATGACAGAAAAATGCCATGTGCAGCGAACGGCGCTATTGGCTGCACAGTGTAAGGAAAAAAAAAAAGAAAACATTATTCTTCTCACACTGGGGTATCACGAGCGAAACACCGTTATAGACGCTACACAATGCATTCGCATTTCCTCACGATCCCCTTTGGAAAGGTGGGGGCATTTTTTTCATTTTCTATCTTGCAAAAAAAAAAGGAAAAAAGTGAGGACTACACCTTACAGCCATTGCAACTCACTCAGCACTGAGATGAATATAAAGAATTATAAGTCCTGTAGCTGTGAAAGACAAATAACACCCATCACATATGTACAATGGGCCTGCATGTATGCATCCACCAAGCAGTGCAAAACTAACCTTCGTAAAACTTAGGGTCGAAGAGGTCTGTACGCTTTGCAGCCAAAGCTGCACAATAGCCATAGTCAATACAACACAACAAGAGGTGGTAGCAGTTGACAAGATCACAGCAGATGGCCGAGAATCGACCTGCAAATAAACAATATAGGCTGTTATAAGTTTCCATCTCACCTCCTGGTCTCATTATGACACTAGCATCTAAATGATGGGGAGGTGAAGGGGAGCACCATACAATTATCAAAGCATCATCCGGTCGTAAATATTTTATTGGACGAAGTCCCTAGATGCAGCACAAACACACAATTGGAAACAAAATCTTGATAAGTGACGATGATATGGTGGTCAAATCAGGTTCCATTATGAAGAAAACATCGGGTGCATCGCATGGAAAAGAAAAGTAAGAGGCCCCAAAAAGAGAGAAAAATAGATAAAATTTTATTCTAGCAGCAGTGCTGAGGTTCACACCATCAAGCCATTTGTTTCTCTCTCCTTCACTATACACATACAAATAATGAATTCGTGGAAATTTTGGATTACTTGTATTTTAGTTGGTCTTAGATATCTTCCATATTTAACTACAGTGTAATCTCAATGAACGGAACTTTCTGTTGATTGTTGGCTCGAGGTTAGCTACAAGCACTGTGAACTCAACAGAGAACGTTGCACAATTTTTATTTATTTGACTAGTATGTTGACATCGCCGATTGTGTTTACAAAGAAAGCGAGCCATTGCCAAAATAGGAACACAAATGTGCTTCGAAATTCCTTGATGACCGCAAGCAGTCAGTTGCCATGAGTGGCTGACTTTCCGTTTTTAAAATTCATTTGTTATGCAATCTGCCTGTGCTATACGATTACTTTTTTTCTATGCACTAAAGTATTTGCTTTTTAAAAGAAAACGCAGCCTTCAACATTGCCTTTCCGTAAACAACACTCCAGAAAAACGGAACACCTTTCCCTCATCCCTTGAGGTTCTGTATAAAAATAGTACACGGTAACATTAAATTCCATCCTGCAATGACAAGCTGTCAGTCATAATGTGAAAAGCATTTTAGCTTGAAAGGCAGCTTAGATGCATAAAAATGGCTCACTGGAAAACTCATCAGTAGGACTTTAATACTATACCAACGAACAGAGGCCCATATATCCCCACAGTGAAAATGTGATTATGCATTTATTCACTTAAGGCATACAACTAGCCCAAAGTTACCTAAAGTATTTTACAGGGGCTGTTCATCATTGACAAAAGAAACCAAAAGTCACTAAAGTTCTTGAAAGCCAAATTTGCAGTTAGGGCAAGTGCTGAGCCTTCTGAGCAAACAACAGCTCTCCACGATGCAAAATTTTCATGCATCCAAACAATATAAAAAATATTTTCAAGAAAATAATTGCCGTTGAGCAGAAAATGGCTTACACGGAGGTATATATATTCATAAAAATTATGCATGTAAAATATTTGTGTATATAACTCTGTGGCTGGACTCAAAGGGCAGCTAAACTAGGAAACTTAGCAAATTCTTTGTTTTCAAATCTTGTGGGCTGGATAAATGCATTTATCACAGTCAACAACTTTTCACTCATTACGTTTTAAGTATTGCTAATGGCTGACATCATCTGCTACTATGCCCAACAAAATAATCTGTGCAATTTTTCGCAAATTACTATAGTTTCATGCAATATATGTAAAGACACAGTGCGAAAAAATAAAAAAATAAAAATGACATGACAAAGAAAATTTTTTACTGAGCAAAAGCATGACACATAGATGTCATCACTTAAGATCACTTCAAAAGTACAGTGAAACAATGCAACATTATCCTGTATTCAGAAATTACTAGGGGTGTGTGAATAATAACAAGTTTTGAATATAATTATCATTTTTTCCTTTATTTGAAGCATTCTGCATTTAGAAAATGTGTATTCAGATTTGCCTAAATGTTCAGCCACAGTTGAATGTAGTACCAGTAAAAAGGCAAATGTTTGCACAAATTTGAATGTTTGGGCAAGTGACAAATGATGAGTGCTACAAGTTACAAATGATGAAAGCTACACAGTCTTATATTTACAGTAAAACATTGCTAATATGCACGCATTCACACGTACGACAATGAAAACGCGAATGCAGTGAATTCCATATTGTGCCTTGAACCAAATCGTCTTGTGCCAAACAGTTAGGCAGGACATGTCAAGCAGTAAGCTTTTCTATATGACGACTTACAATTAGTACCTTACCAGAAGTCTTTTCAGCCTACTGCGGTCCAGTGAAATGCAGTTTCATTCATTTACGTTAAAGGAGTAAGAAAAGCTATTCATAATTCATTTATTTATTCAAAATACCTTACAGACCCTAAAGGGCATTGTGTAAGGGGAGCACAAAAAGAAAATAGATAAATGGATTTGCAAACTTACAAACAATAACATAAAAATATGTCGATTATACAACTCCTAACAAACAGTGGTAGTGACAAAAAAAGGAAAAAAAATATTTTAATAAGAATACAATGGCAATGAAAAGCAGATGATTATATGTGTGAGATATTGATTTAAAACAAGCTATAAAAAAGTAAACACAATTTATAAATAGACTTTCAAGGATTTAAAAGAAACCATTGTTCAAGATTACACAACATAACTGAATGGAAAGTTAGCATTCTAAAAAAATTTAATAATGAAAAGAAATGAAACAAGAAAAGAAAATAACCCAAGAAACTGGCAGTCATTCAATGCATAAGTGCAGAACTTGATATGAATAAACCAAGCAATTAATCCTGGAAATGGGTGATTAGGAGATGCCGGAATTTTTGTCAATTGCATTCATCTATGATTCATCTACATAGTGAAGTGTCAGGCCAGTTGGTGCAGCCTTGCAAACAGGGGTGGTGCTAGGATTTTTTTTTTTTTTTTTACAGGGGGGGCACCCACGACAAGCGAGTTCCTCCAAGGGGGCAGGGAAGCGGAGAACATGCGCCTTGAGTTTTGGCTATGCCTATGCTTGCTCTTGAGGGGCAAAGGGGAAGCAGGTGGAAATTTTGGGTGGGCCCCATGCGCACCGCTGGAGCCGCGCTCCTGCTTGCTAAGTCGCTGAGTGTAAAAACAATATGAGAGGCAAATATTCTGGACAGGACAGACACTCACTTGCAACTTTTTGGCTGTGAGTGTTTGTACTGTCTCCCATGTTTTTCTCCCATATTGTATTTACACTCAACAAATTTGTGAAAAAAGCTATTACTTCTTGTTTTACGACTTTTTTTACGTTTATATATTCAATACTTGATTTGGTATTCAAAGACAATTCTTTGCCTTATTCATAATCAATTCGTATATGAAAGTTTCAAAACTCACGCAGCCCTATGACTTACCACTCTGGAGTGCCAAACAGGTCATATTTGCTAGACCAGAAGGGCAAATAAGTGAAGGACGGCAGGCGCTGTATTGGAAGAGAACTAACAGCGCTAGAAACTGAAAGGTTAGAGCAACATACAAGGCACTAAGTCCAGTCTCTAGTGCTGTTTGTTTCCATCCTAATGATTTAGCAACCAGCCCCGACAGATTCCTGTGGTGCGATATAATTCCTGCTCAGGATGCCCGCAACTGTAATGGCTTGTATTTCATCTACCTGAGGCTAGTTAACTGCCTAAAAATCAAAGAAAGACTAGTAGAAGATAAAAAAAAGCAACTGAAAACGACTTGTAAGTACCATGGCATCAGTTTTTAGCAGTGGGCCCAATAATGTTCAATAAAGGCTTTGGCCATTTAATAAAACGCAAACATTCTTAGCTAGTCCAAATTGGCCATCACACTCAAACTCAGTATCCTTTATAGACCCTGCACTGCTCTCAAACATTAAATTTTCCTAAGCTACGAAGCAATCGGGTGGACAGATTTACTTTGAAGTTCAATTGTGAAAATCAACCTTTTATCCCAGGGAAACTTCAATGCCTTTGGGTTAAACTCCTACGTGACAGCACGCACCTGTAGTGGTCTGTGGTCGAGCACTGCTGGACAAATTCTTTTACTGGAGCCTCAAGTCATTTAGTTTAAGACCAGAACGAACAGAAGGTGGGAAAAGGTTTTGCACTGCCAAGAAATACTCTTCCTGTGAAAGTGATCATTTTTTTTATTGCTTACTGACATTGTAACACCTGTAAGACTAAATGAAAGGCACAGCCATTATACCAGAATTTTTCTTTTCAGGTAATCGATTGCCAAGGCAACAGTCGGAAAAGTGCTCACCTTTGATGTACACATACAGTGTCCAGATGAAATTAAACATGTCATTAGAACTGCATTGAGTAGGCCTAGGAAAGAAAAAGCACATTTGATGTGGTACAAGTTGCAATAACATGGTTTACTAATAAATGAAAACAAATCATGCACTAAAAGACACTACACCACAATAAATGCTAGGTCATTATCAAGCTCACTAATCAAATTTCTCTCTCTCTTTCATGAGAGACTCCCAGCAACACCAGATACCCGATTCAGAAAGTCCCTCGCTCAATAAGCAGAAATTTGTGCCATAGACATAATCGTGGAAATGTTATGCTATATGATGAACCAACCTAATGCACTGGAACTGCATGTGAATTACTCAGAAAAAAGAGAGGGTTTAGATGGTGTATAACATCCAAACTCTATTTACCAGTAGGCATAGAAACCTGAAGTAAATTCAATTCCAGTTCAACACAAATTCTACCACTGCCACACCCCCTCATGTAATTTCTACTCATGACAAAAAAAGGTTATAGAGTACTTCAAACTACAGTGAAAGGTCAAAGCTCACGATACTGCACACATAGGCTACTGAAATACATAAGCAAGAAAAAGCTGGCTGGAAAATATACTACTGGGAAATATGGCATCAACTCTTGTTGTCGGAGAGAGGTTTACATATAAAAGGAATAAAGTGACTTTTTAATAACATAGCTTTCAAAACACCAGTAACCAAGTGAAGATTGAAAGTCCCAACAGAAAATAAGCAACAAGATGAAATTAGACTTATGTACACAGGGTATCTCAGCTGGCAGCATGTGTAGCATCAAATGTTTTAGTGTAAATGCAGTTATCCCATGTCAGTAGTCTTGGAAGATAAGGCCAACTAGAAAGCAGTCATGGAAAAAGCCATAACATTCAGGCTGCTGCTTTCCTGCAAATATGAAGCCCCTATAATGAAGAAAGTGCTTAGCCTCCTAGTGTCTTAGGTGAGAAAGGCAGCCCACATGGGTTGCATTTGATTGTATTTGTATTTATATACAAGGTGCCTTTTTTAAATAGTACAGATTATTTATAAAAAACCTATGGCACTCAGTGTCCTGCCATTTTCACACAAACTCTAGCTTCAAGAGGAAGTATTTTTCCACAGCTATGATGGCATTGACATGACTAACAAACAAAAACTTGTTAATTTTTTTATTACTGACTTGACTATGTTTGTATATTTCAAAGTTTTAGTGCATGATAATTTATGATATCCACATTTTTTTAGAAATAAAAAGGTTGCACATAGTTCGATATTTATCATCGAATTGCAAAGGCAAAAATTGAAACTGATCGTAGGCGGTGCACCAATTCTGCTGGGTGAGACCGGAACTACCCATGACAGGGAAGTGATAAAATTTGAATCGAGGCATGCCAAAGCAGAATGCCGTCAGAAAAATCGGCAAGCACTCTGAAATACACAAGTAGGCAGCTTTTTGTTTGCGTGTGAGGTGTAGTGCTTGCCTGTTTCTTTCTTAGGCACTAAAGCTAATTCAACTGTCTGCAAGAAGAAACGCTGCAGTGGCTGCCCCCAAGTTTTATGCTTCCTAGACAAAGAAAAGTTTGATAGTGCTGTTTTTTGTGAACTGTTCAAAAGATATAGATAAGCACCAAACACTACAGGCACAAATAAGACGATTCATTGGCACAAGTAAAATTACTTTTAGCTTTTCACAAGAAGACACGGCCTTTGCATGCCTTGGTTCGAATTTCATCCCTTCCCTGTCATGGGCATTTCGGTTTGACATAGAGCTGTAGTGCTCCGCAAGCGCTCGGCACAATCAGCTAATTTTGCCCTTGAATTTGGCCATGGATATCTCGAACTATGCGCAACTTTTGTGATTTGTGAAATACGGGTATGGCATAAATTGTCATGCCCTACAACTTTCTAATATGAATAACTGCCCTTAAGTCAATCATTAAAACGTAGTGACTTTTTGTTAATTAGTTGCATCAATGCCATTTTAGCTTCAGGAAAGTACTTCCGCCTAGACATAGAGTATGTGTACAACAGCCACAGAAGCGTAGCTGTCACAGGACTTTCATTTTAAAAATGTGTATTGTTTAAAAATAAAACACCCTTAATGTGCATGTGAAATAGGGGGGAGGGGCTTTCAATTTTGGTGGAAGGGCACAACACCCCATACACCGTGAGCTTCCTGAATGAAGGTGGTAGACACACAATGCATGAGATTTCAACAAGTATGAGTTCAAAAAGACACAAGTGAATTTAGGAGACTTGTATCAAAACAGAAACATGAGCATTCCCGAAGCGGCTAAGGATCTAACGATGGTGAATGCTGGGCATATGTGGTTTGTGGAAAATGCCCTGCTCAACAGTGCTATAGGTGACTTGTAGCAAATAACCACACACCTGAACCAGCAAATTCCAGATTAGGCTTGAAAGTTGATATAAAATATAAAGCTGATAAATATAAAGCTGGTAAATAAAATTTAAATTTCATTGATATGTAGAAAATGGATTTTCAGCAGCCAAGCAGGGAAGTACTAGTCATGGCTGGTAGTTAGCCTCATTGAAGTGAATTTAAGCTTTGTGGCACTGACATGACAAACTGGATCATAAGAAATCTGTATATCAAAAAGAAAAAAATGGGTAACGGACATACACTTATGCATTTGGATCCTTCACATTGAAAATACATTATTTGCAATTAAAGCCTTTAGCAGTCATAGATACTAGACACCTACCCACACGTTTCAGACATGGTACAGTCAGATGAAGATGAAACAACAAATACATAACATGCACATTAGTAATAGAAAATGAAACTGAATAAAATTTAACAAAACCCACAGAGCATGAACTGGAGGCTAAGGAGAATGCAAGAACTGATGGAATGAAGAATGGCATCTGTGCCAAGATACAGGAATACAACATGGATGAGAAAGCAAGTTTTGGGAGCTGATAATCTACAGTTAGGTACAAATTTTGAAGGCAGCGATAATCCCTCCTTAAAAGCTGGCCACATATGAGTCTGTGGCCGGAATGCCGCATGCACCCTAGACTGGCACCACGAACTGACAGCCAGTGTTCCGCTCTCGGGCTTACGGGTATTTCAGCGAAGCTTGTTATGACTCTAGGGATTTCAGTGGCAGCAGTGTATGTGGAAAAACATGTGCGGGTGAGCAGGCAGAAATGTGGCCCTCGAAGGTGTGCCGGTCACATGCATTATTTGTATATACAGTTTCCAATGATTGATGCTCTCGTCAATCGTAGGCTTGTCAGCAATCGGCTGTTTCTGATCTGGCAATCTGATCTTTTGTCAAAGTCACTTATTTTACACTGCCACATTGCACTGTTGCTTGGATATGAATGCATGATTGTTATTGCTGCATGTAGCAAATGAAATCTTGCACTGCTTGGCACGTGAATGAACGTCCAATTGACAGACAGCATGGAAAAAGCAAAAAGTTAGGACGGGGTATATAGCACAATGCAACAGAAACAAAGAAAGATAAGTTGTTCAAGCATGCACACGCGAAGTTCACTTGCCCTCATTTTCTTGATTGGGAAAGGGATCACGAATTCTTTTTTTCTTTGTCATGGAGACAATAATTCGTAATGCTTTGGTCATCTGGGCACCTTCCTTGCTTCTTGAGTGGTATCAATGCTTACGTGGAGTTGGCCAGATTTCACTATACACATGGGCAGATACCTGGAGAAACTTGCTACTCTGCGACAGCAAGTGTGCCATGCCACCAGGTCATGTGGCAATTCAGCATGCACAGGCAGTGTATGAAGCCCTTGTTATAGCCAACCCAAGTCTTACATGCTGTGAACAAAATTTCAACGCCTGAAAGCTAAAGCTAGGTACTTTACAAAATTAAGTTAGTTCCCCACCAAGCGTATATATGCGCACACACACACAAATACGTACATACATGCCCACAAAGATGTATCTGTTATTCATATGCTGGGGACACATGAACTGTTCAATCTGCAGCACCTTGCACAATAATTTATTATTCCAATATATATAACAACATTCTAATACTCATACCCTTCCCAAACCCTAATGCGGCTTATATTTTCCTCCACACAGATCGTAAGCAACTCGGCTAAAGTTATTGAAAATCTCATAACAGCTAGACACTGATCTATCACAGAACAATGTAAAGTGAGCTTTACAGGGTATGTAGATGTGCAGTACTCACAGATTCGAAGGATATCAAATTTTTTCATATAATGACTGGTATGCCCAATTGCTCGAGCTAAGAACACTTCAAATCTCATCCCAAAAGATAATGTCGGCCGTGATCTACACCTTCAAGTTTAATTTACAGTGAAGATAGTGGAGTATGCGTGTTTCTTAGCCCTAAATTGTTCTGCTTCGATCCGTGAGTACTGTACTTAATAAAATTGATGTTCAGAAAACAGCTAATACCTATGACTCCTCCGCTTCACAGCCTTGATGGAACGACGCTGAGCCGTGGTTTGGTGCTCCTTAAATACACTGGTGAAGATCTGGACATATTTCTCATAAATTTTTGCTGTGACACAGAAGCTCTTTTCGATAGTTTCAATGCGTTGCCGCATGCGCTCATTCAAGTTAGCCATGTCTGCCCACTTTTTCATCTTCGTGAAAAAATCAAGCAAGCTGTAAAGGAAGTATCATGCGAATTAACACACACAAGCCCCAAAAAACAATGATGAGGTTGTTCTTGCAATAGTGTTATTAATATTTTAAACATTATTTGCAAGATGTTCTGACCTGCAACAGCTTCCAACTTGACCATACATGAGCATTTTATGCAATAATGCTAGATGATCATGTTTGGCCTATTTGGCATTTAGTTGAAATGACAAGAAGGAAGTAGTTTGATTGCGAAGATTTTCTTATAAACACACTGCAAAGATTTGCTTACAAACATTCAGTACTGGAGAACAAAACTATAATATGAATGTGCTCTCTTAGATTCTCCATCTTTTGAGTTTGTAATAACGACATTACAACTTTGTGTTTTATAACTGCTGAGGTTTTAACGTCTCAAAACCACCATATGATTATGAGAGACGCCGTAGTGGAGGACTCCGGAAATTTTGACCACCTGGGGTTCTCTAACGTGTACCTAAATCTAAGCACACAAGCTTCAAGCATTCTCACTTCCGTCGAAAATGTGGTTGTTATGGCTGGGATTTCCCGCGACCTGCGGGTCAGTAGCCGAGTGCCTTCTTGGCCACTAGACCACTGAGGCGAGTCAACTGATTGGTGCCTGAACCATTGCAAACCTAGACATAAACTGGGTTTGTGCAGGCCAGAAACACCCAAGTATTTTTTTCCCCCAGGCTTTTTGGTGGCAACTCTCAAATCAAGTAAAATTAACCTTATAAAACTCACCATGGCCTAAACATGAAACAATTGAGCTCTTCTATTTTACATTTCAAAAACCTTTAACTAGCCTGGGTAAACAATTTGGTGTAACTAGTCCACACATGAAACTGCCTAAATATACAAACTTCACAGCATGTTATTATTTGTTTGTGCAATAATAACCAGAAAGCTGGACAGAGATGTCATCAACTTCCTTTGTACACTAAGATAACTCGAATTTCATGAGATATAACCCGTCAGTTGAAGTCATAGAGCACTTTCAAGCTACATTTTTCAAGCGGTCAGTAGCACGAAACAGTCACACGATGATATTGTAGGCAGTACAGCACAGGGGCAACAGTTTTAAATATATCAAAGCATGATCTCTTTTGCGAGTTTAATTTGCTCTCTTGCCCTACAACATTTCAAACAACTCCGGTACTCAATCTTGCTTACAACTATAGGTATGCAATGCCCATCTGATTTTGGACAGTGCTTCAGATATTTAAGCATTCCTAAAACAAAATGCAATGCAAAAATTTACAGCAAAATTACACTAAAGTTGGAAAAGACCAACCTAATTCTGCATACGGTGAGCAGCCTGGTGAGGGAAACACAGTTGCCTTCGATGCGTGATGTGTGGGCTACTGTGGGCACATTCCCATTCCTGCACTCCACATAGAGCGCACAAGCTATCCAATGTCGCATGTTACCCTGAAAACAAAATTTCATGGTTTAACTACCAAGACATGATATGCGCCCAAAATTAAACATGAAATTAAAATCACACCATCAAGTTTATCACAAGAGATTCGTGTTGACAGCATTGATTAAGGTATACCGTTGAAATGTGCGAACCATGAACATTGATGAATCATTGAGTAGCACCAAATAACGCAATTTTTCTTCCAGAAATGCGCGCACAAACGTGCATCCAAGTAAACGGCTTCTTCCGCAGCACTTCTTCACTTCGCAAGGTTCACATCCTGCAGACGGGCTGCTTAACGGATCTTAAGACAGCTCTACACTTGAAATTGCGGACCACTTGAACTACAAAACCGCACCAATTCTGCGTCATAATTTGGCTACGTATGAATGATGTTAATAAAAGCCGGTCACGGACATCGTATGGCGACATGCACAAACCAAACGACGACGCCACCAAGCCTAAACAGAGCGGGCGCACTTGACATCAAACGCCCAGAACTACTTTCACCAGTAAACAAGTACTATAAAACATTAAACATGTATGTTATGAATACCCAGTCAACGCACAATGTGCGACTAAAGGTGGCATCAGAAAAGTTTGAAAATTGGAGTCATCGACGATTTGCTGAGTTGTGGCTTTGACATGGTTAGCACGCATAAACCTGCTGGACAAAAATAAAATCGAGCTTTTTATTAGGCAATATATGCTAAACGACGGACCACCGCTGTTACTTTCACCGTCTCAAAACCTACGATAGTAGCACAAGATTTCTTAATATTTGTTGATTTGTAACGTAGTGTGACGCGAAAACCAATGTTACAATTATTGCTCTGATACCGGAAAATACCAACGTTCGGCACCATTTCTACTCGTTCAATTGCCTTACCGTGAAAAGCATAAGCCCCGATGCACACGATGGTATGCGCAAGAAGGGAGAAAGAAGCAAATGTTTGTCAATAATGGTTTACCTCAAGAGTGTAGTTCATGCTGATGTTCTCGTACGTGTTCAAAGCTTGATCAGATGTGAGGCGATCCATGTTTAGGCTGGAGCAAACTTCTTGAAAACAAGCCCTGACCTCTTGATCACCTTCACTTGAAAGCCCCATGATGAAAGATGGTTTGTTCGAACACAAAGTTTGTTAACCACACACACACGCACGACCACACTCACAGTCAACCACTGATATGCATACGCACCCCGCACTCGTGTGAAAAAAAATATAGTCCGGCAAATTGGCGGGAAACGCTCCGCCGAGCAACAGCTCTCTTCCGCGCAAGAAAACTGTGTGAAAAAAAAATTGCTTTAAAAGCTTATGTAGTAACTATAAACAAAATATATATACTAATTCAAGCCTATACAACTTGGATACAGGCGCATAATATTACTATAAGCACGTTATTTGAGAAAAAACAGCTTCCCCTCGTTGATCAAAAGAAATAGACCGCGATCACTCCGCGCCACCCAGTTGACACAGCACTCACTACTGCCACTACTACAGCGTACTAGAAGGGGGCAGTGGAGTGAACGAGGCGGCGGCGCCGCATCTCGGCCGATTCTCCGGCGGGTGACAGTAGCGGCGGCGCTATTGTCCCATGGCACTGAAGATCTCAGAAGCGTCTGCATTAAGAGCGCGTGCGCCCGAGCCTGCGAAAGCGTGTAATTGCTAATTGCTAGTTTTTAGCGCGGTTAATGCGTTTCTGAGCCTTTATCAGTGGGCGCACCTGCTATGCGTCATGCTGCACGAGTGAATATGCGGGCACGCCGAAATTGCATTGATACATTCACTGTTTCAAAATCCTGCCGACCCAGAAAAAAAAAGAAGATTGTCAATCAGCATTTGCACGGATCCACCTACCTTCTTACCCAATCAGCGCTTTGAGCTGCATTGCATCATAAGTGGCTACTGGTGAACTGCAAATAGAGGAGAAGTATCAAAACCGTGATTGAATAATATATATACGCTCGTTTTGTCGGCAGTCTCTACGATATGCAGAGCACAGTGTTCCTCATATGAGCCTACATGCGCTCGATTGTTTCACGAGAAACCCCGAGTATAGGAACGTTGTCACAACATTTAGATCGGTGACGACTCTGTTTTATCATGCCAGTTTTGCGGAAGATAATAATTGTTGCTTTGCGAAAGGCTTAATGCATAATAAACTTAAAAAAACAACACACAAACATATTAAAGAGTGCCAATTGTATATATAGCCCGTCTGTTAATCTGCGTAAATTAAGTGTAACCAGGTCTCATTTAATATCGACAGATTAAATTGTGGTGCTTTCCAAATATTCTATTGGCGTAACGCCATTGCAAGCGAGCAAATTTATGATGATGTTTTGCATTATAAGCGTAGTTCTATTATTAAGTGTCAAAAGTGTAGGCAGGCACTGGTGCATCTTGTTTTGAGAAATTTACCTTCCTTGTATATGTACAGAGTGAAAAGACACACACACACACACACATAAATAAATAAATAAATAAATAAATAAATATATATATATATATATATATATATATATATATATATATATATATATATATATATATATATATATATATATATATATATATATATATATATATATATATATATATATATATATATATATATATATACAATGCCCCTTTAGCACAGCTCAGCTACTATTTTTAGGCAGCGCATTTGGCATTTCTCGTCCGACTGCGTTAGACTTGAACTAGTTTTGAGACTTCATACTGTTGAAAAGGTCAATTTACAGTACGCATTACTGCAAGGCCACGCTATATTCAGCTTCGCCGATTGTAAACGTTCGGCGCAGGGCTACCCAGGATTTCTTTTTTTTTTTTTTTTGAAGGGGTGGTGTGTGCAGCAGAACACCTAACTTTGGCACTTGGTGGTCGTTGTGAATGAATGTAAATATTTTAGTATACCCTGAAAAGTTAAATTACGAAAACATTTCGTGGTGTAGGGCGTTCAGATTCCCTTCCTCTCCCCTTTTTACTTATGACTTTCTGGTTCTGCGTGCGTGTGACACAGTAATTGTTTTTTAATCTCACAGCTTTCTGAGCACAGTTAACTTCCAATAAATCGGCTCAGTTATTCTGAATATTGTAGACTCCTAACCAACGATAAAAGAGTTAAGAGAGAAGAATTCAGTACAAGAGACACTCCTTTCCGAATTATTTTCGATCTCTCACAAGGGCTTTTATGGAGCGCAAATTCAGTAAATTGGCGTGTCATACTTCAAGGGCTATGGCATCATGTGCTAGACATGAATGTTGGGCAGGTACGAAGAAATCTGCATCAAGAAAGCCCGTCGGAGGAGCCGAAGCACATAGCAGTTCCTGCACGCGGCGCGCGGCTATATTAGTACTATTCGACTGCAGCGCCGCCGCTGCGGGCAACGTGGAAGGGATCAGGCGGTGAGGCGCGGTCACGCCACTCAACACTTCTAGTACACTCTACCACTTCTGCTTTCCGCTGACCGTTTCGGTCTTTCGACGTGCCGCCGCTGGTCGAAGCCACAGAACACCTACCAGTCGAAGCCAAGTTAGCAGCATGCGCGTGGGCTGGTTAACAACGCGAAATGTTGAGCTATAGTACTCTGTAGTTGAGCCAAAGCATGCATGAAATAAGTGAATCTTGCTTTGGCTCAACATTTCGCGTTGCAAGGTTCATTTAATTCATGCATGCTTTTTCTGTCACATTTAACGTAAGAAAGCGTTAGGTAGAGAAAATAAAAACTGTAGGCACTCTTAACAACAAGGGGCGTCAAAGTGAATACCGCTACGCTGCCGGTGGGGAGAGTTTTGAACAGTAGTTCTGCCATGGAGGAAATCTTTCCTTCCTCCGTGAGTTCTGCTACAGTATATTTCCTGGCACCGTAGTTCTGCGCTGCGCCGAGTGCGCCATGTGCGTCGTTAGGTGGTGCGTCTGTGCGGCATGGGTTAGCTTGTATGTGCGTCTTTTTCGCATGTAATCGCATCCTGCTACCGATCCCGTTGTATCATATTCGAGACCTAGTGTGACGCCTGATTTAAGTAAAGAAAAAAGAAGCGTGCTCATTTAAACGACAGCCACCTACGAAGCAAGATGGTCAATTTTTGTAATGTAATCACATTAAAACCCGGTAATGTTGGCCTACGCCTTTGATTTTGGTGCCTCAGGAATTGGTCTGAGTTTTATATCGTAAATTTTTGAGAGGACGAAAATGACACAGCATGCGCAACCGGCCCCCACCCGTCTTTACTTCAAGAACAATTCCCATTTCAAACGTCAGTCAAAACTCTGCGATGGCACATCTTGCTTTGTTATTGGGATAAACACGCATTATTTCGCGTCGAAGCCGCAACGAATGCCGTTTTGGGTCCTGCATATTGCGATGATATAACATTCTTATAAGCATTCTAGTGACTATATGTAGTACAAAATGTTAGCACGTAACACGCAATCGCAAATACTCACTTATATATGATTGAATGTATGTCCATGCTTTGAATGAGCGCATGCAGGTATTCAATTGCTGCTAATGTTGTATAGATATGTTATTACTCAAAACTCAGATGCTGCTCTCTCTCGATAGATTTCAGTACCTTAAAGGGTGAGGTGAGATTATGGCATTTATAATGAATTCGCTTTACAGGCGATGTGTAGTAGTTCTAACTGCGATATACTCTTGTTATTATTATCTGTAGGTACGATGTGTCGTCATTGGAACTGCAGAGTGTCGAACCGAAAAAAAAGATAAATTGGTTTGGTTCGGTTTCAATTAGGCCCATTTTGCTTTTGTTCAGTTCTGCTCCAGAGAAATAAAAATCTCGAACCAGTTCGCAACACTGAACCGGTTACGCAGAGCTAACTTATCTTGAACACGTTGCTCACTGCCATTGACTTGAACGCACAAGCTTAAATACTGCAGGGAACACTACTCAAGTAGCTGTACTCACAAGTTCACTGGGACTTCGCAAATTTCTTTCCTTTTTTTTGTCTTTTTCATTTCCAATCTTAGCATTTTGCCGAGTGCATGCCACATCAACAAGCTTTCTCAAGAGGGGAAGAAGTCAGCTCTTCGGCACATTGAAAACACCGATTGATGTTTTGACATTCTAAATTTAGTGAAAATATCTATCCTGCACGATTGTCATATGTGACTCACGCGTGAGGCAGGGGGTCACCCCGCCACCCTTAACACTTACAAAGTGTTACAAGGGGAACGCAAAGTCTGCCCCATAGGCGACGATAACAGCGCGTGAGACACACAAAGACAAGGAACCAACGAGGACTAGCGCTGACTTCCAACTGAAATTTCCTAACACGAACATGGAAAACGAGAACAAAATAGCACACGTGACTTCTTTCTAGCCCATGTGGATAAGGAGCGAGATAGGAAGGGACAAATGTGGCAGAATGCTCCCGGTTTGCGGACAATTATCTCGTTTAATTTGAGAGTATTGATGCCACATGGTTCCACGTGTCAGGGCACTCTGTAATTCACGATGAATGCCTTGACCCGCTCGTTAGCACTAATGAGTTCGTTGAAGTTGGAGTGCTCAAATATTTCGATTTAAGACTGTCCTTTTGGAGCTACGAGCCCCACGCCAAGAAACCTCTCCTGCTTTAGACTTCGGCGCATAGTAAGCTAGTCAAGCGGGGAATCATTCAAGCATGCTTGAATGATTCAAGAATACTTGAACTACACTCACGATAGTTTCTTCTCGCAGATATGTAGAAGGCAGTCGGTTATTCCCTTCTCGTCTCTGCTGCTGACACGCTGCGGAAAAATTTTGAAGCAGTCGATTAGTCGCCATGCTCTTCAAGCAACAATGAGAAATAAGGTAGCAGTTATCCCGCACGGATTTCTCACTCAGCTCAAAGAGATTGGTGAGAAGGCGAGCATATCTCAGTCCTATATATTCGGCACCGCTGTCGGAGCCGACTGTCAGGACTAACCCTGTAAAACGGGATCGAAGCTCATGCAAAATTAACAAGAATGAATTCTTCTTTCGACAGACTGGCATGTGTCTTAATGTACGTTTGCAGGAGGTAACCAAAAGGTACGAAAAGAGACTAAAGATTTTCTTGCAATTCACTGTTCCCAAGACGGGTGTGCTCCAGCATTCAATAACACGCAGAGTTTAGCTACGCATCGTCAGGATAGCACATGCGGATCATTGTTGAAGCTGCAGCTATCGATAAAGGAAATTGCGTCAGAAAACCTTCAATCGCTCTCACCGACAAAGAAACAGGTTACCTTAGCTCATCTCGTGCTCCGGAAGGTTCTCCTAGCAGCGCACTGATGCATTACATTCGCACTAAAGTGAAATTCGACAGCAAAAACAAACTGTTTGAAGCTACTCCAAAGCGTACGCTAAATTACAACGAGGGGTTCACTAGTCAACAAGGAAATTTTGTGAACAATTTAAAAAAAAAAATCTGCCCTACGCACCATACATACTAGTT